AGGGGCATGACACCGGTCAGCAAAAGGGGGCGGAGATGCTCCCCTTGCGGGAAGCTGCTGCGCATCGGGGCGGGAGGGCAGCAAAGAAGAAAGAGCCGCTGCGGAGCAGTGGGCCAGGGGGCCGGGCGAGACGCACCGACTCCGGACCGCCCATGTCGGTCAGATTGCCAATCTGGTCATTGGGCAAGTAGCCGAGCGTGTCCTGCAGGGGGAAGTGACAGTACTCGCAGGCATTCACCGGGGTGTCATGCTCGGCCTGCTGGCTGGCCAACGGCATGTGACACCGATGGGCTGGCCGTTCGGGCCCCCCCTCGGCGGGGGGAGCCGCCGTGCCGGGCGTCAGCAGGCCCGGCGGCTGGGGCCGAGCGTCGGCCTGCGCTCGCACACAAACCGGCCGGGCACACTGGCGCAAGGACAGATGATGAGGCAGGGGGACATGCGGCAGCAGGGCAGCCGTGATGCAGGCCGCCACGAGGGCTGTCTCGCCCTGATCGCCGGCGCGGCCGCCGGATATCAGCACCACATGGCGAATGTCGGTCGCAAGCCAGGCACGAACCAGACTGCATTGATGGGTGACCAAAGCAGCAACATGGCCAGGGGAGAGTCAGACGCGGGTGCCGGCAGGCAAGTGTGAAGAGCAAGCAGGCAAGCAAAACAAGAGGCAGAGGCCCTGACGGGCACGCACTGGCAAATGCCGAGAATGGAGCTGAGGGTGCGCTCGGTGGGAGCACCACCGGCTGTGGCCGAGGCGCCAGAGCCATCGGCCGCTTCGGAGATGATGTCCACCGTCTGGGGGAAGGCCACACTGAGATTGCGACCGAGGCGCTCGGCCAGCTTGGCGTCGATGGACATGCGCTGGGGGTTGGGAGACGGGGCGGCGGCCAGAAGGCCCGACAAGGCGGTGCTCGACAGGGGGAAGGCCTTGTCGCTGAGGCGCAGAATCATGACATGCTCGGCGGCCACGGGACCAGACTCATACTCCTGGAGAATGTGTTGGATCTGTTTGGGTGGAGGGTGGAGGGGGGAGGGGGCGGACAGAGCGGACAATCGCCAGATGGTTAGAGGACTCGGGCAAGTACACTCGCGCAGATGTGCACGCGTGGGGGGGAGGGGGAGTTCATGTGTGTGTGTGTGTGGCCGACTGTCCTGCACACCAGAAGGGGCCAGCCGGGAGGACGCCCGGAGGATGGCAACACAAGGACAGGGATCCGGAGCGAAGAGGGGGAAGGGGAGGAGAAAGAGGCAATGGGCATACCGCTTCCAGGCGGGACACCTCGGCCGAAACTATGGCCGAGATGCTGGGCGCCGGCACCAGGCAGGGATCGGACCGAGTGCGCCAGAGGATGCCGACACGCCGGGCGGCCGGGCTCTCCACCACCGCGCCCAAGGCGCTCGGGGGAACCGGGAAGGATCGGCCGAGATCCGTCACATAGGGCGAGGAATAACTCCGATAGGAGGGAGATCGACTGTCAGGGGAGGTTTGGAGATCGCCGTTCAGCAGCGAGGCAGCCAGCTCGGCGGACGAGGGGGACGTCGCGCGGGGGGCCGCAACCACGGCGGCGGCGGCGCCGCCGCCGCCGCCGCCGGGGAGGGTGCCGGAGCCCGGGTCCCCGGGCCCGGCCGAGGGGCTGCTGGCCATGCCGAGGCTGACCGAGAGCCGGCGCATGCGCGACTGGAAGCCTGCCACCAGGGGGGATGCTTGCGACGACCGGGGCGGGCTGTTTGGGGCGGATGCCGGCCCGACCGGGCGCAAATGGTGCACCTCGGCCAGCGACGGACGAACCGGGTCCACGGCTCCGGGAGACAGTGACGGCAGGGAACTGGACGGATGTGACAGGTCATCCAGGGGGGGGATGGTCGCGGTGGCTGGCTCGGAAGATGCCGACATCATGAGGAGACGCCCGTCGGAAGGGTCCCCCGGGCATGGGGAAGGGGCACACGGAGCCCCGGTGCCTGGGCGCTCGAGGACATGGTCATACGGGACAAAGCGCAGGAAGGGGGACATCATGTGGAAGCTGGACAGCCACGCGACGGACCGGCGACCGGTTGAAGAGACGCGCGGACGTGTGGCCGCACCACCGGGCGAGAGGATCGGACAGTCGGCCGTTGGGTCGGCGGTTGCCGTGGCCGCCGACGGGGTGGCGGAAGTTGAAGCCGCTGCCGGGGTCGCTGCCGGCCCCGTGGTCGATGTCGGGGGCGGCAGAGGGAGGATCGAGGAGAACATCCTTGGAGGAGATCCGACGAGATGCGGCGAGATGCAGCACGCGCGCGCACGCGGGGAGAGGGGGGGGAGGGGGAGAGAGAGTGGGGGAGGGGGGGGGGGGAGTGGAAGCAAATACAGGGCTCACGCTTAGGCTGACACGCTCACTCTCGTTGTGCTACTCTTGTTCGCTCGCCCTCGCCGCCCTCGGGGATGGATCGGCAGGCAAGAGGGGTTAAGCTAGGGGAGGAGGGGGAGTGGGGTCAGTGGGCTTGTCCGCGTGTGGGCATGCCTCGCTTGTTGACAGTCCCACGAGGCGGGTGCGCTCCGGAGGGGGGCTGGACGCGGCTGTGGGGGAGGGGGGATCAGGCGTGTTTGGCCGGAGACCGCGAGACAGGAGATCGTGAGGAGACGGCGTGTGCGCGCGCGTGCGCGAGAGAGAGAGAGAGAGGGGGGGGAAGGGAGAGGGAGGGGAAGGCAGATCCTTCGGAGACCGGGCGGCGAGGTCCGGAGCTCGGCGCGTAGGGCGAAGCGGAAGCAGAGGGAGGATGGAGGAGGGATCAGGGGGAGGGAGGAGAGGGAGGAGAGGGAAGGGAGGAGGGGGGATGTACTCGACACCAGTCCGGGAGGGTGCGGGGGACCGGCTTCAAGATGCGCCCGGGCGCGAGGGGGATCACACGTCTCCCACCCCGCCCGGGGGGGGGGGGGGAGGGAGACAGAACAATCCGGACATTCTCGGGGGGCCGCCTCGAGCGACGCCCAGCCTCCCTGCCCGGAGGTGCGAAATGCGGGCATTCCTTGCACCTTGGTGGCCGGGTTGAAGGCCGATCGGGCAAGGAACCCAAGCGAGGCCTAGAGAACAGAAATGGAGAGCGAGAGAGAGAGAGAGAGAGAGAGAGAGAGAGACAGAGAGAGAGAGAGAGAGAGACAGAGAGAGACAGAAGGACAGGTGGCGAGACAGGCGGGGGAGAGACTGTGGAAGATCAAGCAGATGGGAAGAGATGGTTGGCAGCCAGCCGGGCATCGCGCGCCGGCCCCCGGCGGTTCGCCCGGGAGAGACGGCCGGCGAGCGATCGTCCGAGCCCTGTCCGCCCCCGTCCGCCCCCCTCCCTCGGCCTCCGCTACACCCACACCCCGGGGGGACGGCGTCCCAGTTTGCGCCTCCAGGCGTGCATTATCTCTCGGTCGACTCCCTGGGGGGCGCCGGGGGCAGGGCCCGGGGCCCGGGGCCCGGGGCCGGGGGGCGCCGGGCGCGGGTCGGCCCGAGGGGGCGGGGGCCCGGGGCCGGGAAGACGGCATGGACGCGGCTCCTGGCCAACCGCGAAGGAGCAAGGGGGTGGGGAGGGGGGGGGGCGGAAAGCAGATCCGGTGCCTCGGCGTTTCGACGCCCATCCGCAGGCACCAACGAATTGGGCCAGGGGCGTTTTTGCTATCTCGCTCGGCCCTTCGTCGGAGGAGTACGAGGCCGTGCCGGCGGCCGGGCGGGCGAGCGAGCACGGGCACGCTGGCGCCGGCCCCCGGGCCTGAGGGCGTAGTAACATGCGCGCCGCGCGTCCGGTCCGTCGACACGCGCACCGGCAGCGCCGGACCCCATGCTGTGGCCATCCGGCCGCGCGAACGAGCGTGGCCATCCGTCTGCCCGTGCCCCCCGACTCCGGAGCACGGGGCGGAGGGGGGGGGGGGGGGCTGCGACAACATATTGCCAAGTATCGCCCGGCCAGCGTCATCGGCGCGGCCCCGACGATCGGGGCATATCCGCTCGCAGTTCGGCGAGCACGCACATACGTGCACGGGGCTCCGGGGCAAGAAACTGACGAGGGCGGGGGGGGCCGGGGCCGGGGCCGGAAGGGCGTGGGTGCTGTCATCCGCGTGTTAATGTGAAATTGCGCATCTGTCGATGGGCGCCTCGCAGGCGTCTCTGTCCCCCCCCCCCCACTCTCGCGCCCATACGCGCGCCCGTGCCCTCACCCGCGCACCCATCTCCAGGCGTGGTCGGGGCACGCTGCATGCGTGCGTGCGAGAAAAAAAAGGTCCCACGGCCGAACACCGACGAAGGGCATCGGAAAAACGCGCGACCCTGGCCCGGGCGGGCCTGATCCCCCCACCCCTCCTCTTTCTCCGATGCGCCCTCCTGGCGGGACGCCGCCGTCCGGGGATGCGTAGCCATGTTTCAAACGACAATGGCCCGGATGGCGCTCCGGCGGGCCCGAGCTAGGCTGGGGGCCGCGCAGCGGGGGCCAGGGGCGCAGGGGGGGGGGGGGGGGCCGCCTGGCCGCCTCTTCCTGG